GAAAGACGGAGCTGCCGTGTTGCTTCATGATGATGAGATGGATAGAACGACAAACATGAAAGGTCTTATAAGGGATAAAACTCAATCTGAGTTAAAGCAAGCTGATATATCTGCGAACTATGTGCGAACTGTGTAAGCTTATCATTCTTTGAGCTAGAAGTAGTTTGACTGTGATGGAGATTACCAAAAAGTGAAATCTGAAGGACTACCAACTCTCGAAGAAACTGTGAAATGAACTTTGGAAAACAAGATGATAATGTTGTTATGAGGAGATTGCAACCAGATTGAGATTAAAGTGTTCTCGGGATATTCCAATAACCTTTATTAGTATCGAAGAAGACCTCACGCTGCTGATTAACCTTGACCAGCAAACTCTCGCTGTAGATTTGAGAATTAATGAGATCCGTGGTGTTTTCCTGACAACAGCCCAGATGAGATAACAGATAAGAAACCCGAAGTAGTAAGGGTATACATGTGCTATAAAAAGTAAAATGGAAAATGTTGTCCAATAGTTTATTGTATAACAGAAAGAAGAATAATACTATACAGTAGCTACACAACATATAACTCAGTTTGTGAAAGATATTGTTAGGAGTGAGGAGACAAGTCAATAAGACGATTTACGAATAATCTCATTCAAGAATACTTTTTCATTAATTATAAAGCACAGTTCTTAGACATTTCACCATCATAGTGAAAAGTTGGAAACACTGCTTTGTTTAATTTATATAAAATCTCTAGGTACTTTTCGATCATGTTATCAACTAAATTTCTGTTTATCTCTCCTTCATCACGCAGACGGATATCTTCGAAACTGCGCCGGTAATAGGCACGAATGAAGGGAAAACGATTGTCTAAGAATGCAATGGCAGGACTCATTGTTTTCTCAAAAAAGAAAGTATCATATCTGAAGATTTCGAAATGCGGTTCTACAAGATCGTAGTAACCTTCAATGGTTGCCACCGATGCCAACTCGCTTTCACTAGGCTCCTTGGAGATACGGGATGCCCAGCTACGGCGTGGAGCAAAGTTCAGTGTCGCTCTCATCTCCGTCTGGCCAATCATCTCTAGCGCTCCATTAATTAAAAATACGATGTAGTCGAGTGCCATCGAATACTTCAAAGTGTTGTTCCATATCTGATTATGATCCTCTTTGCTCAAACACGTTTTTGACAGCTTCGCTAACTCAGTGTCGACGTCGAGCTGCGGTGGTGTCATAGGCTTTGTAGTTGCAGAAATCGACAGAGAGCTGTCAGGTAAGACTACGTTCTCTGAAAGTTGTTCATTATCTCACTTATACCGGAAATATCGAGTGAAAAAAAAATTTAAATCTTCGAATCATTCATTGTCAATAGATTTCTTATACCTGCCAGTGAAGGAGTCGCAAGGAACAGACTGATTAGGAGTAGGGCCTCCATGTATTCACCTGAAAGTTGCGAAGTTCAAAGCAATCACGTGAAAGAAGTACGTGAAAATGAAGTTATAACAGAAAGATACCTATTCTTTCTTTATAACTTGCAATGTATCCGTTCTGAAACTTCGGTTTTCTTATCTATTATTTTATCTGGGCGAATCACGGATCTCATTGATTCTCACCTCTTTCGCGCGAGTTAACAGGTCAGGGTTACTCAGCAGCGTGAGGTCTTCTTGGATACTAATAGAGGTTATTGAAATATCCCGAGAACATTTCAATCTCAATGTGGTTGCAATCTCCTCATAACCACAGATTTCATATATTCATTTCAAATGTTTACATTACCAATGCTTTTGATCCATTGGTATGGTTACACGTACTTCTTTCACTTGAATACTTTTAAATTTACAACTCTTAGGTGAATATATGGTGGCTCCACTCTTAATTAGTCTATTCCTTGCGACGCTCTTACTTCCAGGTACAACAAATCTATTAAGAACAAATGATTCAAAGATTCAAAATTCTATTCTCAACTGATATTTCCGGTATAAGTGAGATAATGAACAACTTTTAGGCAGCGTAGCCTACCCTGAAAGCTCTCTGTCGATTTTTGAAACTACGACACCTATGACACCACCACAGTTTGACGTCGACACCGAAGTGGAAAAGTTGTCCAAAACGTGTTTGAGCAATGAGGATCACGAGCTGTTTTGGAACAACACTTTAAAGCATACGCTTGTACGATTATACAACGCATTTTTGATTGATGGAGCGCTAGAGATGATTGGCCAGACGGAGATGAGAGCGACACTGAACTTTGCTCCACGCCGTAGCTGGAAATCCTGTGAATTCCTTAGATCGGAGAGGCCTAGTGAAAACGCGTTGGCGTCAGCGGCAACAATTGAAGCTTACTATGATCTTGTAGAACCGCAATCTTATATTTGCAATCTTGATAAATTCTTTTTGGAGAAAAATATGACTCCTGCCATTGCTTTCTTAGACAATCGTTTTCCCTTTATTCGTGCCTATTACAGGCGTAGTTTTGAAGAAATCAGTCAGAGTGATGGAGGAGAGATAAATAGAAAATTAGTTGATAATATGATTCACAAGTTCGAAGTGATTGTTGAAGAATTGAAAAATGCAACATACCGAATGCTTAATCATCGTATTGGAGAATGTCAAATAAACTATGATCTATGATTAATGAAAAAGTATTCTTGAATGAGATTATTCGTAAATCGTCTGATTGACCTGTCTCCTCACTCCTAACAATATCTTTCACAAACTGAGTTATATGTTGTGTAGCTACTGTATAGTATTATTCTTCTTTCTGTTAAACAATAAACTATTGGACAACATTTTCCATTTTACTTTTTATAGCACATGTATACCCTTACTACTTCGGGTTTCTTATCTGTTAGCTCATCTGGGCGGTTGTCAGGCATTGAAACATTACGGATCTCATAAATTGTCAAATCTTCGACGAGAGTTTGTGAGTCAGGGTTACACAGC